GTGATTTCAGACAGATCTTGCCCGTTATTCCTCACGGTGGAAGGCAAGAAATTGTACATGCAACAATAAATTCTTCACATCTATGGCATTATTGTCAAATGTTGACATTGACTAAAAACATGCGGCTGTATTCACAAGGTTCTAATAATGATGTCATGGAGATTAAAATGTTTTCTGAATGGCTTCTTGATGTTGGAGATGGCAAAGTTGGTGACAATCTTGATGGATACTCTACAATAAAAATCCCAGATGAAATCTTGATCAATGATTGCAATGATCCAATCTCTGCTTTAGTAGAATTTGCCTATCCAAATCTTTTGAAAAATATGCTTAATGTGTCTTTCTTCCAAGAACGGGCAATCTTAGCACCAACATTAGCGGATGTCTCCATGTTAAATGAGTACTTAATGTCAAAAATTTCAGAAGAAGAGAAGGTATACCTTAGTTTAGATAGTATTTGTAAAGCAGAAGGGAATAATAATGTTGAGGAAGAAGCATTTCCTCCAGAAATACTTAACACTTTCTCTGGAACTGGACTTCCTAACCATAAATTGACACTCAAGAAAGGAGTACCAGTGATGCTTCTGAGAAACATAGATCAATCAAGAGGCTTGTGCAATGGGACAAGATTGATTACTACAAAACTTGGTGAACATGTTATTGAGGGAAAAGTGGTTTCAGGAAATAACATAGGTGAGATGGTGTTGATTCCAAGGATGAATTTGAGTCCTTCAAATAACACATTCCCTGTAAAGTTTGAACGCAGGCAATTTCCATTGGTTATTTCCTTTGCCATGACAATAAACAAGAGTCAAGGTCAAACTTTATCTCATGTAGGAATTTATCTTCCAAGACCAGTTTTTACTCATGGCCAATTGTATGTGGCTCTCTCCAGGGTGAAAAGTAAGAAGGGATTAAAGCTTCTCATACTTGACGATCATGGCTCAGTTGCAAAGGAAACAACAAATATTGTATTCCAAGAAATTTTCCAAAGGTTGACATAAGTTAATGTGTCTTATTTGTAAAACTATTATACATTACTGCTGCACGAGATCTGACCATGTTTGAGGTAGCTACTTATATCTGTACCACTTAGGTTTTATCTCTTTTAAATATTATTGAAATTCCTCACTATAGATCATACCTGCTTACCTTAATCAATGGTTATGTTTTGGCAGAGAAAATTTTGTTGTTCATAATGATGTGCACAGAATGGAGACACAATATCTATCAGGGCTATTTATAACTCAACATGAGGCCGAGTTTAATTTAGGAGATTTAATTATGCATCAGAGTGCTGTTTGAAGTTTTGGAGAATTCTCAATTGTTGTTCATGATATATTTGAGAGCATTGTGACCTTATTATCTATTACTCATTTGAACATGTAAGTTTTTATTTTCTTACTATTTGTAATTATTTTATCTTTTTTGTCTGTGTTTATTATAATCTAAAGATTTGTTATTATCACTGTGAAATGATTTGTATTTGTTTCTTAATGACAGGTTAAATATAAAACTTGAAAAATTATGGATGCACATTGTTGAATATTAATCCACAATGTTGGTTGTTCTACTATATTTTCTTTTTGCTTGCCATGCTTCTTAATGTACAATGCATGTCTATTATTTTTGCTTTCCAAAAAATATCAATTTTATTATTTATTTTATTTTATATATTTTACTAATCACCATCCCGTGCGAAGGCACGGGTCATATCCTAGTTGTTGCTATAGCTAAGTAGGTAAAACTACAGCAATCACGACTATAGCACAACTGCACGTATGTCATGTTAGTGGAACAATTAATTGGAATGATATAATGCAAATGAACAATTCAATAAAACTTCAAAACAATAAGGGCTGTAATTTAAATAATGTTGTAAGATAAAATGAAACAGTAACACTTGTTTTTGATTTTTCTGATCTTAGGTAAGAAGATACACTAGATCAAGTAAGAAGATAAAACACAAAAAATGACAAAACAACATTTTGAAGATAATTTTCCCCATATCCATGCTTTAGAACAACTAATCTACAACAACTTGACAAAACAACTACCCCACCCCAAGCTAAACAATGTTAGCCAGAAATCCAAATCTGAGAATTAACAAACAACTTCATTACAAAAAAGAACCATAGATCAGTTGACTAAATATATGAAAATATTGAGTACTAGTCTTCCTCAATCAAAAAGTGCTTAATTCATGTCATTACGATTTCAAATTCCATTACGATTTCAAATTCTAAGTACAAGAACTAAAAACAAGATGTTCATAAATCTAAAATTAGAAGAAAAACAACATAAACAGACGAACAAAGGAAGACGAAAAACAGAAGAAGAATATTATGGAACTTGTTTTCTGTTATGGGTATTGTCCTAATTGTACGTTCCTTTACTCGTGAGGGTGTGCTGATGTGGCATCTCTTTCTCCCTTTTGCTTTCGTTAAATGCCCCTGCCTTAGCCTTGAGGTTTAAGAGTTGGTTTTTTGGACAAGCATCATTTTAAAATCTTTGATCAAAATAATTCCTCTGTTAAAGTTGATTGGATAAGTTTTGGATAAGTTTTTTCAAAGTAATGCAGTCAAACATATATCACATATGCTGACGTGACTCATACCACGTTAACGCTACGTAGACCGTTCAGTCAGAGTAAAACTTCAGAAGGCCATAACTTGTGATTCGGGTATCCAAATCAGATGATCTTTTTTATTTCACATAACTTTTTGAGATCTACGCAATGACGCCTCATTTGACATATTTTATCTTCCACAAACATAATTTGAAGATCTTCGAGATTTAAACGCTCTTGTGATTGTGATACAATTGTTACAAATTCAAACAATGCCTGTGGGAGATAAAATATGTCAAATGATGTGTCATTGCGTAGATCTCGTAAAGTTATGTGAAATAAAAAAAAATCATCTAATTTGGATACCCGAGTCACAAGTTATGTTCTTTCGAAGTTTTACGATAATTGGACTGCCTAACGTGGCAGAGTCCCGTCGGCATATGTGATATGTTTGACTGCATTACTTTGAAAAAATTTATCCAATCAACTTTAATCGATCAATTCTTTTGCCCAAAAATTTTAAAATGATGTTTTTTCCTTTTTTGGACTGATTCATTTGTCTTATCCAGCCCATGTCTTAACTAACTACTTTGCATAAAATGAAGCATGCAGTTTTGACCCGATTCCAGTGTATCAAATCAACTTTTGTAGCCCATCTCATAAGTCATAACAAAATCTCCACATCAATGTTTTATGCCATTTATAGTGAAAGCACTGAATTTTTAAGGGATTCATGCTAAAAATCATTACAAACAAATATACAATTAAACCAGATAGATCTCGACACGGAGATCTATCTAGTATAACCATAACTCCCACAATAATTCGGTTATGCAAAGAAAAGTTGTGAACGCTTTGAAAAATTCTGATGGAAGAAGATGCTTTCAGAGTTCATATATCTGCATCTTTATGTTCTCAATTAGAGTAAAAATGCAACAATGTCATTTTGATATACATAAAGTTGAAATTTTTGGTACCAAGAGTTGTTGGAATATGGCGACTCAATTAGATATCAAGATTGGTCTATCCAAAGAGTAATTGTTCAGATCTATAAAATCATTAATGTAGTCTCACCCGACAGTTTAAGTTTTTGGGTTGAATTGGTTCTTTACATGGTATCAGAGTCTCGTGTCCCGGGTTCGATCCTCGCTGCCCCCCACTTTCTTTCGAGTGGAATTTCTTTGTTGGCACAGGTAGGTGGGCCTGTGCATTGTCTACCCTTCAAGCTCAGTGGGCTCTCGTGTGAGGGGGCGTGTTGAGATATATAAAATCATTAATGTAGCCTCACCCAACAGCTTAAGCTTTTGGGTTGAATTGGTTCTTTACAATAATGCATTCGATTTTGAGAGTTATAACTAGGAAGAATGGATAGACTCAAATCCGAACAGGAGTAACACCACTTGCTATTTACCACAAAAAAAAAAAAAAATATTGAAATGTTTGGCAGACTAGGACTGGCAAAAGCGATAAATGAATACAACTATCAATAAGGTTATTTTATTGATAAAATAAAATAATTCCAATAATAATTCCATTTTATAAACTTCTGTCATAGGGTCATTCACAAAAGACCATGAGGTTCGAACTGTGGATTAGCTGCTAACTTATTCCATAATTCTCTGTCTCCATGAGAATATATATAGCAGCTTCCAATGTATTAATGGTCGCAAGGGCATATGTTCAGATTACAAAGAGGGCATAATTTAATTTCCTTTCCTCTATCTTTCTTCCATTCCAAACCAAGTATGGGATTGATAACATGTGGTGGTAAGATATCCAATATGCTTTCGGCCCACACAATGACATGTAGTGGTAAGACTAACAATGACTTTTACCAGGAGAAATAAATCAACTTTAAGTCACATTCATGCACATTTGCGAAATTATTTCCAAGTAACAATATGGTGGACTACAATATAATTACCTGTGTGGACCATTCTCCAGAGACTTTTTACAGTATTAACATCTCATTACAGTTGAAAGACCATTCAGAGACTAAAGTTGGGGATAATGGTTATTAAAAATTCCCAATTTTCATGATTATATATATATATTTTAATTCATCTAGTGCATTAGGCACACTTCACTATATATATAATGATGAAAATTGAGAATTTAGTAACCACTAACCCTGTGAACGGTCTAAGTTCCATGGAAATTGAGTTAGTGGTCAGTAAAACGCTTTGGCTACTGTAATTTTATAAAGACTTTTTCTCCATAACTAAGTTCCATATTTAATTCCCAATTGACTTGAGATGGATTGCTCTGATTTATTTATTTATATTTTTTGTGGTGGCAATAAAAACTCGAATTCAAGATGTCACGTTATGTGTTGATTTTGTTGCCTCCAGTATTTAAACGCATAGAGTAAGAGAAGGAAGGAATAAGCCTCTTCTGTGTTTCCAACATAGCTATTTAGCAGAAGAAAACACACCATCTAGTGACCTCGTCTTCCTCAGCCAAAAAATGAAGCCTTTTTCTCTCGTTATACATGAATTTTACTCTACATGCCTTCCCCTATTTCTTCTCTTAATTACTTTGAACTCACTTTGGTTTAGCCCAAGCACAACTGCCTCTCAATCAGGAAACCAGACTGACCATTTGGCATTGCTTGAATTCAAGCAATCAATATCCAATGACCCATATGGTATCTTGATCTCTTGGAATAGTTCTATCCACTTTTGCAACTGGCTCGGAATCACATGTAGCCCCATGCACCAAAGAGTTACTGAGTTGAACCTACAAGGTTATCAATTGCATGGGCTCATATCTCCGCAAGTTGGCAATCTCTCTTTTCTTATAAACCTCAACCTCGCAAACAATAGCTTTCACGGAAAAATCCCGCAGGAATTGGATCGATTGTTCCAATTGCAGCAACTCTCTCTCAGCAACAACTCGTTGACCGGGGGAATTCCTACAAACTTGACTAGCTGCTCTAATCTCAAAGAGATACATTTATCTGGGAACAATCTGATTGGCAAAATACCAATTGAAATTACCTCTCTTCAAAAACTTCAAATTTTTGCTGTTGCAAAAAATAATTTAACTGGAGGAGTCCCACCCTTCATAGGGAATCTTTCATCCCTTACTGTTTTCTCGATGGTTGAAAATAACTTGGAGGGAGATATTCCGCAAGAAATATGCCGCCTCAAAAACTTGACACGTATATTAGTGGCTTCCAACAAAATGTCGGGTACATTTCCTTCTTGTCTTTACAATATGTCATCTCTTGCTTCAATCTCAGCTCCAGAGAATCAATTTAATGGGTCTCTTCCAGCCAACATGTTCCTCACCCTTCGCAATCTCCTAGTACTTGAAATTGGCGGGAATCAAATCTCAGGTCCAATCCCCACTTCCATTGCAAATGGTTCTGTCCTTCAAATATTTGATATAACTGAAAACCATTTTGTAGGACAAGTTCCAAGTCTAGGGAAGCTGCAAGATCTTCTAAAACTAAGTTTTGCTGCAAACAATCTAGGTGACAATTTAACTACAGATTTGGAGTTTTTAAAATCATTGACAAACTCTAGTAAGCTGCAACTCTTAGGTATGGCCGGAAATAAGTTTGGAGGTCGTTTACCAAATTGCATAGGCAATTTATCCTCCCAACTCAGTCAAATATATCTTGGGGGTAATCAAATATCAGGACAAATTCCTGCAGAATTAGGAAATCTAATTAGCTTAACTCTCTTGTCCATGGAAAATAACCGTTTTGAGGGTAGTATTCCATCTGCTTTAGGAAAAAATCACAAGATGCAAATTTTAGAATTGGGTGGAAACAAGCTCTCAGGAGGTATCCCATCCATCATAGGAAACCTTAGTTTGTTGTTTTATTTGAGTTTAGACCAAAATTTGTTTGAAGGAAATATTCCTCTAAGTATACAAAACTGCCAAAAGTTACAATATCTAAACCTTTCCCGAAACAATCTTAGAGGAACCATTCCCTCAGAGGTTTTTAGTCTTTCCTCTTTAACAAATTTACTAGACTTGTCACACAACTCATTAAGTGGTAGTCTACCAAATGAAGTTGGCCAATTGCAAAATATTGATATCCTGGATGTCTCTGAGAATCAACTATATGCTAATATTCCTGGAACCATTGGAGAATGCTCAAGCTTGGAGTACCTTTATTTGCAGGGGAATTCCTTCCATGGAATCATCCCATCCTCTTTGGCTTCACTAAAAGGTCTTCGACATTTAGACCTGTCACGAAATCACTTGTCAGGATCAATTCCTAATGTTTTGCAAAATATTTCGTTCTTGGAATATTTAAATCTATCATTCAACATGTTGGATGGTGAGGTACCAACAAAAGGTGTCTTTCGAAATGCAAGTGAGTTAACAGTGACCGGAAACAAGCTTTGTGGAGGTGTTTCAGAGCTGCATCTACCGCCATGCCCTGTCAAAAGTAATAAACATGCAAAACACCACAATTTCAGGTTGACAGCAGCAATAGTTAGTGTAATTGTTTTTCTTCTCATACTGTCATTCATTTTCACTGTCTATTGGATGAGGAAAAGAAGCAAGAAACCATCTTCTGATTCACCAACAATTGACCAGCTGGCCAAGGTTTCATATCAAAACCTACACCGTGGAACAGATGGGTTTTCAATAAGAAACTTGATAGGATCCGGAAGTTTTGGCTCTGCGTACAAAGGAACTATTGAGCCAGAAGACTCAGTTGTTGCCATAAAGGTAATAAATCTTCAAAAGAAGGGAGCTCACAAGAGTTTCATTGCTGAGTGCAATGCACTTAAAAATATCAGGCATCGAAATCTGGTTAAGATTTTAACATGTTGCTCCAGTACAGATTTCAAAGGTCAAGAATTTAAAGCTCTTGTTTTTGAGTACATGAAAAATGGAAGCTTAGAAAGTTGGTTGCATCCAGCAGCAGATATTGCAGATCAGCCTAGATCATTGAACCTTGAGGAAAGGTTAAATATTATTAATGATGTTGCTTCAGCAGTTCATTATCTTCACTATGAATGTGAGCAAGCTATCATTCACTGTGATTTGAAGCCTGGCAACGTTCTTCTTGATGATTGCATGGTAGCTCACGTGAGTGATTTTGGCCTAGCAAGATTGCTCTCAAGTCTTGGAGTCTCTCTCACACAAAGTAGCACAGTTGGAATAAAGGGGACCGTTGGTTATGCTCCTCCAGGTATAATATGATATTGTTTGTTTAAGTTGTGAAATCTTTTAGTTTCAAGTTTCATCTCTTGTTTTTTAACCTTTTATTTCCTTTTGGGTTACTGTTTTAATGATAACTTTAATGATATTAACTAATTTGAATTACATTTCAGAGTATGGAATGGGTTTTGCTGTGTCAATTGAAGGTGATATGTATAGTTTCGGAATTTTGGTATTAGAAATATTAACCGGAAGAAGACCCACAGATGAAATGTTTCAAGATGGTCATAATCTCCACAATTATGTTGAAATTTCAATTTCAACTCACCTTTTGCAGATTGTGGACCCAACTATTCTCCCCTACGAATTGGAACAGGGTACCAGCAATAAGAAACTTGGCCTTATGCATCCTAGTGTAGAGAGATGTTTATTTTCTCTTTCTAGGATTGCCCTTGCTTGTTCAATGGAATCACCAAAAGTAAGAATGAATATGATTGATGTCATTAGGGAGCTTAATCTAATCAAAAGTTTCTTTCCTTCTAGGATTTAGTGGAGGCAAGTTGCATTTTTGTAATCTAGTTAATGGCCCTTTCAATGCTTTATTTTTTTTTCTTATATAATTTTTAATATGTTTGTATTATTATTTAAAGATTTAATGTATGTTTAAATTATAATCTATCACAGTATATGTAGCCAATATGTTATATGTAACATCCCCGTCTCGAGCCAGTTTGTTAACATACATATGATACTAAAGCACGACATAGTTAAACATGCAAAAGAGGAAGACTTAATTAAAACTTTGATTCCTAGCCTACGTAATTCTATAAGCTAACTTTTTCCTTTTCTTTTATGCTTAATGTATTGCATAGCATATTACTTTTTCCAAAATTAAACACAATGTATTGTCCCATACCGATACAGAGTTTCTTTTCCTAACTTATCAGTCCTAAAACTGTAATCAATGGTCATATGACCATAAGAGCATGACGATTAGTGTCAACCCTAACGGAAGCAAATAGACAACATAAAGGCTATAAATTGGACAATGTCGGGATTAAATCCCTCATGTAAGCATATCCCGCCAATCAGAAAAGTCAAATTCAGTGTATACATATCCAGTGGCTAACACATTGCCTCTAACTGAAATACATCATATATAAAGTATGGCTCTGTGCCAACAGGAATAAATACAGAGCAAACATCTTATATATATATATACACACACACACACACACACACACACACACACACACACACAAATTCGAGGCTACATACCATGCCTCTCAAAAGAATGGATAACAATTAAAAAAAATGCATAATCGCATATCATGCCTCAAAATAACTATATATTCATCCATATACATAACATAGTATCTCAAAATAATGGCATCTAATTCAAGTAGGGCCATCTAATGATGGACGTATGTCCTACTATCACTGTTGCATCTCCTTGGCCCCCGAGGGCTCTCCCACCGTTGGCACACTTAAAATCATGTCCCCAAGAGGGGTGAGATAACAAATCTCAGTAAGCTCAAGATTTATAGAGCAATCCCCATCCCTGAGCCCACTTCCTACAAGAAGGGTTAGATACAAAGAATAGATATACATCATATACTGAACATATCATATCATATCAGAATAAATCAAAACATATAAGACATATGTGACCTCCAAGGGCTTAAGTCCTACAATGGATTGGTCAACATATCAAAGTGACTCCCAATAGCTTAAGTCCTCTAGTGGGATAATCACAAACATGTACGCAGTGACCTTTAGAAGTTATTTTTATGATAACTTTAATGATATTAACTAATTTGAATTACATTTCAGAGTATGGAATGAGTTTTGCCGTGTCAATTGATGGTGATATGTATAGTTTCGGAATTTTGGTTTTAGAAATATTAACTGAAATGAGACCCACAGATGAAATATTTCAAGATGGTCATAATCTCCATAATTATGTCGAAATTTCAATTTCGAATCACCTTTTGCAGATTGTGGACCCGACTATTCTCCCCTACGAATTAGAACAAGGTATTGTCAATAAGAAACTTGGCCTTATGCATCCTAATGCCGAGAGATGTTTATTTTCTCTTTTTAAGATTGCACTTGCTTGTTCAATGGAATCACCAAAAGAAAGAATGAGTATGATTGATGCCATTAGGGAGCTTAATCTGATCAAAAGTTTCTTCCCTTCTAGGATTTAGTGGAGGCAAGTTGCATTGTGTCATCATACTATTGCTACCAGATAACGCTCACAAATGTTTGATTTTCTTTTCCTCTTCACGTTGTCTTTTTCTAATCTAGTTTCAAAGCTTGATTTTTTCTTATGTAAGTTTTAATATGTTTGTATTATTATTTAAAGATTTAATGTATGTTTAAGCGTATATATATATATATATGCAATATGTTATGGGTTCAAACTGTTTAATTTGTTAACTTCTAATTTTAAAATAATTGTTATGGATCGGCACAATAGACTTCCACATTGGACACATGATTCTGTGCAAATCTATTCCCACATAAGGAACCTTCTATAAACGGAAGGATTCATCCCCTAGCCTCTTGTTATAATTGTGCATGCAAACCACCCTTTTTAGCTCTTTCTCTCTCATCATGCATAATGATATGACGCTACTCACAATTATCTCCTCCATAAACACCGTCAACCCTAAATTCGATAGAAGAAAAAATAAATAAATTCTACAGTTTACTCTTATAATATTTAAAATTTATATGTATAATAAATAATATCTTATTATAAGTTAGATTCTTAAAATACGATCGCAATTTTTAATAGTCAAATAAATGATAATTGACTTTATCCTAAATTTAAAAAAAAAATGTTTTAAAAAAATGAATGAATAGAGTATGATATTATGCTATATTTATCTCTTGCAATATAGCAATAAACAACTACAAAATAAAAAAAAATTCCGATCATGAATTAACAACACACAAAGATCAAACATAAATTATCACATTTAATTTGAATAAAATAACGTAAGGTTGTCTGTATAATAATTATCAAAATGATGACTAAACATAATTCGGTTTATAGAAATAGGGTTCATGCATATAATAAAGTAAAAGTATTTCTATTTATTACTTGCAAACTTTGAAAATTTTGTTTCTGTATTTTCTGTAAATTTTTTTTTTTTTTACCAAAATCCAAAAGTACGAAATAACTTTATATCCTGTTACTAAACCCATTTGATGAATAAATCAAAATCATTGTTACTTGAGACAAAACACACCCAACATAACCAATTTCATGTAAAACAACTCTTCAATTCTTTTCTTGGCCAAGTATAAGCATAACAGGGCAGCCCCTTGCACTTAATATGTTTGGCTATGTAAGCTAATTAGCAAACGACAAAGAACAAAATCCAGCCCTATGGGTTATGTAAGGATAAGTTTTTATCTGTTTCGTTTGAAAATTTCTAATGGAAACAGTTCCTTCCGAGACCATTTATCAGCACATGTATTTTCTCTTCTGAGTAAAAACGCAACAAGGTCATTTTGTGACACATAAAGTCCAAATATTTGGTTAACTATAAATGATTACAGTTAGTAACAAGGTGATGTTATTTGAGTATGAGATAATAGCCAATGACATGAAACAATAAAGTTAAACATGAAAATGATCTAATTAAGTCAAGTAAGGATGAAGATGAAGAACCGTCACATCTTAACACTGCCATATGTAGGAAATTTATAAACAAAGTATGCCCTAGAACATAGGTGCATGAATTTTGAACACCAAGTATTGACAGAAATAAAAGGGATTACTGTATAAATTAATAAATAAACAGGATTTCAGAAAACAACATGCTCTCATTCAACCCGTATTGACAAATGACAAATAAATCAATGGAAGCCCGAGTCAGAATTAATGTTTTTGATGTTTTATATGATTTTATTGTTGGGTTTCCTCTTTTACTAAAGCCCAAATGTGTTATTAGTATGAGAAGAGCCCAAGGAACCTAGAGCCGAATGAGCTAGGATTTCTTGGAACCCATATAAATAGTACCACTTAAGTCATCAGCCTCCAAGGTCTTTTGTGAGAAAGAGTCAAGCTCTTGGTGCCCACACACTTCCCCTTCCTCCTCGAAAGATAGTTTGGAAGGTCTACCACAACAGTTCGTGAGTTCGTGTTGTGACGCAAAAGACTCAAGCATGTGGAACATCATCATCTCACATCTGCGCCATCAAAGAGGTAATTGATAAAACCATGATGATCCTTATATATCCAAACCACAATGGTCTCATACGCTTCCGCAGATGCAATTGCTCCAACAATTGGTATCAGAGCCGGATTGTGTTTTTGGATGTGGATCTAGTTTTATTTTACGTTTATCATGTAATTTGTTTTGCTTCGTAAAATATGGCACCTAGGTTTCTATATTTGATATTATTGGAATGTGTATCCTTTATAATTCCTTTTATAAAACTCAATGTTTTTATTTGATTTTTGGCTTTAATCCATAGTAGAGATTTGATTGTATTTTCTTGGGTGGTAACAAGGAGACTAATCCTTTATGATTAGATTTCCTCCTTGCTGTTTTTATTTATTTTCGGAATTTCTGTGTATTTTCCAATTTTTTGTAAAAGTTCAAGATCGAGAAACCGCGAAGAAGATGCGCAGTCAGCACTGTCAGAGACTTTTCGAGGACTTCTCGATCTCAGACTTGGGTGATCTATATATGGTTGGAAAGAGGACGAAAAGACAAACACAACAGTGGGTGGATCGCCGCCACCGAAACTTCCACGCGCCTCCACAAGCCTCTACGAGTGGCCGCCATTCTCCGGCAAAGAATGAGAGCGTGAGGGAGCGTCCATCCACCTTTTTGGGTGGTTCCGGCGGCGGTGAGCTCGTTTCTTTGTGGCGGTCCTTCCCCTGTAATTTTGTACTGAGATGAGTTTGGGTGACGGCGCAGTGGACGTGACGGCTAGGGTTCCTGAATGTTGACTTAAGGTTTCTTGCCAAAAGTTGGTATTTTGGGCTTTTGGGCCCATAGTTACCATAAAGTGGTTTGAAACAGAAACTATGGACAATAAGGAAAGGAGCAAATCAACCGCAAAAGTTTCCTATTTGATTACTTTGTACTTCTTTTTTAGGAAACCATGGATTAAGGTCTTTATTATAATTAATTGCTTTAATTGTATGATTAGATGAATTATATGATTGATAACATGCCATATAGAATAGATGGTGTCATATTGTTGCATATCTTGTATGATTACATGAGCATAGTAGCTATTATGTTTTCAGCGACTAGTATGATAGTTATTATGGGATTATTTTGATTTTAAATTATCCTAAAAAATTAATTATTATTATGATTTTTGTTAAAAATCTAGATTAATAATTGAATTAATTAATTTTGGATTATTAACATCAAGACAAATAATCGTTTTGGAAATTATTTTGATTTCAAATTATCCTTATGATTGATAATTATTATGATTGCTAAAATCTAGATTAATAATTAAATCAGTTATTTGGATGATTTAAATCTAGAAAAATAATTAAGCAAATTTCCTAAGAGAATATTTTATTTTGCGAGTATTTTGTGG